AAAAATTGTGACTGTAAAAATAATTCACAGGCAAAGTTATCAGTAAGGACGGGAGAGAGCAGGATAAGCTTTAGTTATTCAAGCAGGATTTGATTTCTTTTTAGTTTTTATAAAATTGTAATTGTAAAACTCTCCATACTTACTTGCAAAAAAACAGTAAAATATCCTAGATTAGTTCATTTATTCAGTGTGGACAAAGTCTTCACACTTTAATTATATTTTTGTTTAAATCACAGGCACTCTTAGCAATACCTGTAAAAAAAACCCAGCTCTTTTAATTCAGTTGTATGATCAGTGTGTCTATAACCTGTTAACTATTAACTGATGACTTCATGTTTGCTATAGCTGTGAAATGCCACAGAGGAGGCTTCTTAACCACTCTTAAAGAGGCAGAACACAAGAACGTAACATTCAAACCAGATGTGCATTTATGACAGGAAGTGGCAACAAGTAATTCCCAACTTGCCTAAACTTACTCATGTCTCCAGTCTACTGTGAAATAACTGTGCCAAACAGTGACAATTTGTAAAGTGTGTTCGATGTGGAGAAGTTTGAGGGGGCATCAAAGTCAGCTCTGAAAAATGGTTTCAGTTATCATAAGTAAATGGTTTCCAGAAGGTAGCTTCTAAATTAATATCAGATAAAAACATGTAAATAAGTTTCAAAAGAAATTAGATTCATTTTCAAAAACTGTTGTAAATTAAACACTCAATTTCCTGAAGAGTTTGCTTAAGCAGGACTATGATATGGGTGTTTATCAATTTCATTACTGAATTTTGAACATATTCCTAGAAAATTTGGCAAGCAAAACATTGGCCACGCTTTACTAATATGATTCTGGAGACCCTGTTCTGACATTACTGAAGTATTTCCTTATTTGAGGTCACAACTTCCATAAACAAACATCCGATGACAATGCTCAAGACCTGAAATCATTTTCTTTTGTCTTTAGTTATTTTTTCCCAACTTCTCCTGAGTTACAAAGTCAAAAAGGTTGCTGACATCATAAGTTTGTATTGGTATCTGCTTTATGTTTTATTATATACCTGTCAAACCTGCTGACATAAAAACAAATCTAAACGGAGTAAACATCCACATGGCAGAACTGTGTTTCTGCATCAGAGATTTTTTTTTTTCTCCAAGCCTTCCTGCTACACTTTGTCTCTTGTGGCTCATTAGAGTGAATCCAGTCATTCTCTCCATTTTTCTCAACATCTAATCAAACAGAGTCTTTGATGATCTGACAGTGTTTTCATCATTATCTTCTTCTCCATCATCACAAAACTCTGTGTGAAGAACCGCCATGAACTACAGCAACATTTCATCTCCCCTTCCACTTTTGTTCCCAAAAGAAGTCTGTTAAACTGAAGGCCTGCCATGCATTGGGTCTGACTTTTCAGACAGCTTTTAGTGCTTTATGTACAGTAACAACAAATGATAAGCATTTTACATTTGTTCTTTACTTCAAAAATGTCATCTTCAGTTATTCCCACAGCAGCCAGTTATTGCCACTTGACCTATGCTCTTCATTTATTGGTAATTCTAAACAAAAATAGAAAAAAGAGCCCAAAATAATTACAGCTTTTATTGTAGATTCATATTCTGTCTAATATTCACAAACTAAACTTTTATAATTTATTCAAATTCAAATTAAAAGTTTCCAGATTCATACTTTTCTTATGCTTATCCGAGAGTGTTGCCATTTTGTGTTGTCATGGAATGAGCAATCCATGCCGTGACACATGGGTTGCTTTTCTCTTAGTGTTCATAAGGACCCCGAGGCATGGCCAATCTGGGCCACAACCTAATTAGATTCACACACCATAGCAAAACAATACGTTAAAAATCAGGCGAACATAACGTCAGATTTATGAAGCAACCCCTTCATCTGATCAGGGTAAATACTCACGAAGAATTTGAGGTAAAAAAAAAAAAAAAAAAATTAAAATCCACCCTAAACTTATTTGAACACATAAATATTTTACCTTTCTTTGGTGACATGTTTATTTTGTTCTGTCTAGACACATTCATACTTCCTGATAACTCAGTACTAACCCCATTTTGAGCCACTCAATGAAAACAAAACTGATATCTTCAGTTTTAAACATACTTAGCAGATTATATCTTTAATAATTGTCCAAAAAAAAACCCAAAAACAACAGAATTAAAACTAAGAGCTGTCTTCCTTACCGTCTCCTCTGCTCTGTCTCCCCTGGCACTGATGTAGGTCAGTCGATAATGACGGACATTCCTGGAGTCCACAGCCTGCCACGACACCCGCATGCTAAATGTGGTTTCTTCATCGATCTTCAGGTTCTTCACAGCATAACGAGGTGCTGGAGGATCAGGAACGGAGAAAAGAAAATATGAATAAATGAATGAAATCGCTCGGCAGATCAGAGTCAGAGAAACTCAGTGAAGCGCAAAACTGTCACACTGTGAGATGGAAGAAGATGATATCAAAATCTTTTGACATTTAATTTACTTCAAATTCATATGGGTGTCTTGGTGACATCAAAACCTCTCCCTACAGAAGGTATCACAAACTTTCATGATGGGAGATAAGCCCCACATCTAAAGATGTGGAAACAGATTTTAAATAGAGATTGAACCCAAAAAGCTTAGCTTTTGACTGATTTTTTTCAATAACCTTCATAATATATAAAGCTTCCCATCATGTTTTAAAAACTAACAGATCCCAGTGACACTAGAGAAAATGTGCATAATTAAAAGTGGAAAAAAGGAAACATGGTCAACAAGATTGAACGCGTTGTGTATTCCCTATTGTTTTATCCTTTACTTCCACCACACTGTTATGCAGTTTTTTAATGGTCTTAAACACAAAAGCCTAATAAAATACAATAAAATTTATGATTCTAAACAAGACAGAACTTTAAAAAGATCAAGGGTATGTGTAAATTTGTGAGACACTCTATGGCAGGTGTAAATGAAGAGATTATAACAAGTCTATGGTCCAAGAGGAAGTATGATGTTTACAATCAACAAAAATTGGAAAAAGGTGGATCTGCAAAGTATATTAGTGTGAAAGGAAAGTAAAACAGCACATAGTGGCTGAAAGGCTTACTTAATGTCGTTGTGGTTGTTGTAGCAACTGTAGTTGTCCTCTTAGCTGAAAATGATGAATACTGAATTTATTTTACTGAAATCAGGTTAATCTCACAGAAAGTGAAATTTGAGAGTGTAACATTTTCTGAATAGTTCATGAGAAGTTTTTGAATTTACCAGTGGTTTCTATTAGCACCATCTCATCACTCTCAACCTCGTTTGCGTAGATAGCAGCCAGGAGGACTTCATATTCGGAGGCGGGTTCCAGTCCTTTAATCAGGTAGGTGTTAATGTTTCCATTCACCAGAACCTAAAACGAAGACATGAGAAACTATGATTCAGACAAAGCCAAAGAAGATCAAAAGTAAAACTTTAGTATCATTCAGGTACAATGACTAAAATATTCAGAAAAACAAAAAACAACAAAAAAAACACTTCTCTCTGAAATAGCAAGAACATTCAGATTTTGGTTTTATTACAATCTAGCAGTAAAATCAACCATAAAAGTAATATTAAAGTATGGAAAAACATCGGGAAAAGGAAATTCTGACATTATTGTCCAGTTTTGTGGTGATATTGTTGCTACAATTAAGTGACTACTGACCTGAGTCAACATTTATAATAGATGAGGCCAACTGTAATATTAGCCTGCAGGGTTTTCATGAATCGTACTTAAAATGTCTTTTAGTCAAGGAAATATTGTATGCAAGCAGTCTCTTGTGATTTAGCACACATTGATTTTGCAGCCAGGTCTGTGATTTGATTTATTGTGCAGCAATTTTTTAGCAAGGTAAAAAAAATTAATAAATAAAAATGCCGCAGCAGAAAAAAGTGAAGGGCATTAAAAATAGTTACTTCCCTAACTCCAAAGCTTAAAGTACTAAACAGAATAATAATATCGCCCTCACTGCTTCTGCTGATAACAATGATAAATTCAAAGTTAAGGTGATGCATTTATTTTCATATTTTCCCAATTGTTATTTATGAAAATAGCAGTAACAGACCACGAAAAATAAAATAAATTATAAGCTCATGAAATGAAAATAAAGAACAGATGAAGTTTTAAGCAGAAATTAGAATAAAGTTATATGATTAAAACAAATAATTGCAAATTGGCAAAAATTTAAGGACAAATACAGATTTGTTAAATAAATTTAATCCTAGACTGAATGACTAAATTAGATTTTTCTGCAGATATGGGCCAGAAGCTCTTTGCAAAAAGACCTGAGTGATTTTCAGAATAAAAAAAAAACCCAAATCAGATGTAAAGAAAAAATTAAATTGCCTGGTACACCTGAATTTCCCACTGTGTGGCTGTCGTAGTCCAACTATCCTTCCTCTGCAGGTCCCAATTATATCACTTCTGTCTCCCTAACAGCTCCCCTCACTTAACACCTCTGACTCAGCCTCCATAGATTTTGTTAATGCCTTCGTCTCCAAGCCTCCTCCAGACCCCCAAGCAGGACTCACTACCATCTGGTCAATCTCCCCTTTATTGATGCCACTCTTCTCCATCCTGCCTAAAATCTCTGATTAGTTTTCATGATGCCTTCTCATTGTTCTTAATGGTTGACCTCACATACTTAAACTCATCCACGTTCAAAACCTCTACCCTTGCACTTTCACTTGCAGCTTCTCATTCACAGGCATGTATTTTGATTCTAAATGAAATAAATATATAGTAATAATAAGACAGTCATATTAGTGGATTCAAAATACTGGCAGTCCTTGAAAGCTGAAGGTCTTTATTTAACAAATGGAAATGACTGAAAACATACTTAAAGGAGTCTGCAGAAGAACCAAAAATGAAATAATTAAATTTTCATGTGAAATTTTCTTTTGTTAGTTCTGAGCAGTTGGATCCTGTTATTTTGCTGCAGTGAAATGTAAAGCTTTTAGGGAACTAAATGGAAAGCTGCCAAATCACAAAGCTTTCCAACACTTTGATAATTTCTTTATGTTTGAACTCCATAAAAAGGCTACTGCTAGGTTTCAAAAGTATGTTTTTTTTCATCTAATTTCTGACAAGCTTAAAAGGAGTATCATCCAGCAAATCAAAGATGCAATGTTTAATTGCATCTGGGCCTTCGTATGGAAATATCCACTTTGGTTTTGCAAAAATCTTCAGCAGATTGTTGCAAAGTGGCAGCCTGACCAAAAATGTAATGCATTTTATTCTACTAGAGGGAATTTATGATGCAAGGAGAGTGACACAGTTGAGTTGAAAATTAGGTGACCACTTTCCATTAGCAGCAAACTTTCAGAGGTAAGTTTGCTGCACAATAAGAACCTATGTCTGACTAAATATGAGTTTATACATAAATCATAATTATCAGCTACATCTTGGTCTTGAATTATACATTGAGTGATTATTTTGACTTATCTGACAGGATAAAAAAAAGAAAGAAAAAAAAGCTGCACAAATTCAGGTGGAATGTTTAATCTGTTCATTCCTTTTCATCAACTAGGTTGGCATTCAAATCAGAAACAAACTATTGAGTAACATTTACCAGAAAATAAACATAGCAACTAACAAGACAGTAAAGATGAATAAAATGTAGGGATAACTTTAATGTTTGACATTTTCTACTGTAATTATTATTTTTTTTTTGTTCACACATTTATCTATACAGGGATATTTTTTTATTAAGTAATTAGATATATTAATAGATATGCAGAATAAAATTTTATAAAAATAGATAAAATACTAAAACAAATAAAATAATGGAAAAGTTAATTAAATAACACAGTAACCCCAGACGAAAAATGAAATGGAAAATAAAAAAGAATTAAATAGTGGAAATAATTTATAATAATAAAACGATAAAATAAAATAAACTTGCTCATTAATTACAGGTTTGATTAACCATGAAAAAGCTCAACAAACCTCCTCACTGTCTCCCCCATCGGTGGGTGTCCAGGTGAGTCGATACAGCACCACATCAGAGGCGGGGTGTTGCCATGACACCCTGAAACCTTCTGAGGAGATATCGCTGCTTTTCAGATCCATCGGGTCTGGAACAGTCTCTACATAAGAAGAAAAAATAAATAAAACAGACCATCAGTCTCTTTACATTTTAAAGGGTTCTGTTTTGTCCACCACAAAAATGAGCCTCCCTACTTGTGGTGAAGCTTTCGGTCACTGCTGGAGCTTCTCCTTCTTTGTAGACAGCAAAGACCCCGACTGTGTACTCCGTCAGGGAGGTCAGGTTTTTGAGCAAATAGCTCGTCACAGCACCGAGGTCCACCTGCAACACAATCCGCACATCTAATTTAATTTGAAAAGATCCACAGAGGTTGGTTTTGTTCTTCATTTGCCTGGAGCATCAGCGTAAAACCTCCTTGAGAGGTTGGGGTCAGCCGAACCAGCTCACCTCAGTAGTTTGGACTCCGCTGGTCTTGACGTACATGATACGGTAACCTCGCACCAACCTGGAAGGGGAATCCCAAGTTATGCGAATTGAGCTGTGGTCCACATCTTGGAAACGCAGGTTACTTGCTGGGATGAGTGGTACTAAACAGAAAAAAATAAACAAATAAGTCATCTGTGAATGGAAACTATTTTCTGATTTAAAATATTGCACGAGATGAGAGAACACCAAAAAGTTTAAGAAAAAGCTCAAACTAAAAATAAGAAAAGACTTGCTGTCAATCATCAAGCTAATTAAGATGTCAGGAACAAATGCATGAATACAATCATGGCAACTAACACAGAATGAGCTGCTGAGATCATGATTTTACATTCTCTGTTTCTCTCACACTCTCATGGGGTTTAGAGCAAGAGTTATTGGACTCCACTATTTTAATTATAAAGTGGACTAAATCTCATTACATCACTACCACTCCCTGAGGCTCTGCTCCAACTTCATCTCCTGCTTTAATTCTCCCTCTTTCTCTTGGAAGGTCTAAAAAAGAAAAAAAATGTCGTGCCTGTTGTAGTTTTAAATTCAGCCTGGAAAACTGATTTAGTCTGATCCGTTGGAACTTTTCGGCTTCAAATTACTGATCTGTTTTCTAAAAAAAATAATAAAGAGGAGGAGGAGAAAAACCCTGATTGTTCTCTCCATTGCTTCACCTCAATTATACAGAGGGTCAGAGCAAAGACAAACCGGCAGAGAGATAGAGGAAAAATGAGGCAAGGGAGGAGATACTGCCACTGCTTTTACTACAAGTTGTGCCTCGGTCAGCAGGATTGAAAATTAGAAAAAGTGGAAAGATAGGAAAGTTTGCAAAGTTTCATAATTCTTGCTGGTTTGCAGATGCTTCCTTAAATGTCACTGCAGCTTACTTCTTCTTTGCAGAAGGAATAATTTTTATTTTTAAAGATGGATCATTTGTCTGTATTGGGAATTTTTGTACTTTCACAAAGTACAGATAAATCCAGTGTTCCTTCTTTAATCAGACACCAAATACTTTAGGAACTCAGATCGAAACCCAGACAGACCCAGAAGGGAGGTGCAGATAAGTCGAAATTTATGATGATCACCTCCTTTCTTTTAAGTAATTTTCTTTTCAACAAGTGGCATAAAATGTGTATTTTCCATAAGAGAAGTCAGTCATTACTTATTCACAACATCTGTACTGTGTGTCATCAGATTATGCGAAAATAAGTGCAACCTTCATGATATGTGGATAAGTGATAAAGATATTCATTTTGTGTTTATAGTTTGAATTCAGTATGCAGAGCATGTCATAACGGAAACAAAACACAAAATGCTTCCCTCATATATTCACTACATCTAGCTTGAGATCTTATTTTGAAGCACTGCTCTGTTTACTCTCCGTTATACTGCATTTTTATCAAGGTCATTTGCCTCTGCTTTTTACACAACAGTGATCATCAGAGTGCATTATGGCTTAACAATGGAGGAGATGACAGTCCCTCATTTTGTCAAGTCTGTTAGCAAAATGAGGGATGAGAGGCTTTGGGGAGATGCAGGATCTGAATGAAAAGAAGAAATAAGTGCAGATTAAACCTCCATCATGCATCGTCCGGCTGCATGATGAGGCTTAGCAGGTGACAAGAAATTTAGCTTTTGGATGATTCTGATGATACATCCCAGCAAGGGTGGAAAGGAACCACTTATGTTACTCATTCACATTACTACAATTAAGCATAATTTGTCTGTACTTTGTACTTGTATAAGTTTCTTACAAAACCCAAACTTTTAGCTGAATTTGTTTTATGTCAAATATATAGGTAGAAAAATCACCTGACTGTCTCCCCCAAAACCACCTACGGTATTACTCGGAGAAAAAAAAAAACATGGTTAAAGAGATAGCTGCATAGTAAATGTAGTTAATAGAGAACGCATGCATTGTGCCTGGAACAATATCTCATGAGAAGTCAACTGAGGAAGCTCTCAGTCCCTTTCCACTGGAAAAACACTCTACGTATGTAGTTGCTGGACTTGACATAAACATTCCCTAACTTAAAGCCACATGCCTCACTCCTTTATAGAGATGCAATAAAACACAAATTAGTAAGAATGGTAAAGATTTGGAGACAGTTAAACAGGAACAGACTCTAATCAAGGCTCAGGATGGAGAGCCACATGCAGAAAATATCTGGGACAGAGACAGCTGGAAACAGATTTAAGGATGGGAGGTTGATAGTTTTCTTTAGTGGTGAAAAAAGAAGGAAGTGCCAGAAACGTGACTTGAACATGCCACAGTTGCACTAGTAACGCTAAATGAAAAAAGTCAAAGATGGTGGAAATCTAAAGTAAACATAATTACAACAGCTTATTCCACTGATTAGAAAATGTTCAAGTCGAGACTAAAACCTAATCAGGAAAATATATCTGATGCAGTGTTTGGGTTAGAAATGTAACTTCCTCCAATCAAAGTCCTACAATTCAGATATTTATACAGATCTAAAAACAAGCTAAAATTAGTGAATTCAAGTGTTCTTCATGCATAAACGGAAGTCTCTTCAATAAGTGATTTGACTTCTTCCCAAATGAACAGCAGGCAGCTGCGAGGAAAGTATTAAAATGACTCGAGTAGAGCGAGGTGCACCAATGAGAATGAAAGCAAATTGAGATGAAGGTGATGAAAAGCAGTAAGAAACCTTTTATTAAGTAAATTTCATACAGATTACCTGAAGTCTAATTCTTCTATCTTTTACACGATTTTACCTCGAAGTTTTGCAGAAAGACTCGTCCAAATTTCTTTACAGAAGCATCAAAGCCTCTCAATCAAAGCTACAAAAGATGTTTTACATACCTCATCCCGAAGTGTGATCTTAATATTGAATATTAAATTGGTTTTACTTTATTTGACATTTTCATTATTTTGATATTTTTGCAGATTAAACTGCTAACATTGTATTGCCACAGCAATGTATTACTTATGTTCTCATATTACTTGAATTTTTGCTGTTAAGTCACATTAGGAAACTCCTCAAGGCAGTTTGCTGCACTGGATTTTTTAGGGGTATCAAATTAAAGAGGCTGAATGCAAGTACTATATGTTCAAATGCCAGTATAGTTAGCCTATCCTATTGAGTCTCAATTTATTGCATTGAAGTTGTGCCTTCAATGCAATAAATTGCATTGAAGGCAATTTATTGATTTTTTTTCTGTAAAAAAAAATGTACAGAAAAATAGTTGAGCTATTAAATGACAGAATTGTGGGAAAATGAGAATCACAGCTTATCTGAGGAATAAAATGTGAAAACACACTTAATAGTTTGCGTTAGCCAACAGAGAACGGACAGTAGAGAGGATCCTCAGAGATCTTTTGAAGCTTGAAAAACTGGCTGATAGAGACTTACATGTGGTCTGCTGACTGGTCATGGGATCACTGGCCTCCTCTCCGTACATGGCATAAACTGTCACTGTGTATTCAGTGGCTGGAGTTAATCCGTCCAGCTCCACCTCATTTACAGAATCACCCACTTTCACCTGTTCGCACACAGACACAGAGCAGAACGGTATGAACGACTCCATCCGAAAACTAATGCCGTGTTTTTCACTCCAACATCTTTTGACTCCATTTTAAATTGTTCATGTCATCTCTCTGTGATTCCATCGTATCCGTCCAATTGGCCCATACAATTCAAACAAGCATAGAGTCTAGCTGTGAACAAGATGCATTTAATGAAATGATTTCAGATGCACAGCTCGGTTATAAAAGCTTCAGGAGACTCAAGGTAAAATGAGACAATGTGAGACTCAGTAAGAAGGTTGAGAACTGAAAACTTTTCAATGCAGCCACCCAGTCACATAATGAAGGCCTTCCAGCTTTTCAAAAAGATGCTTTCAAGGCTGCTGATTCAACACTGAGAGCCGTGAGCGACTAAATTATTATTTCTTTTCAAAAGAAAATTGTTACAACAAAAATGAGTCTGTCAATTACAGACCAAAAACATTTGTTCGGCTGCCTTTTCGTCTACCACCTGCATACAGCTGCAAAAAGTAAATTAAGCTTAATATCCTTCAAAAAGATTTCATTTTAAACATGAATATGCGATGAAAACACTGTATATTTTTTTCATATTCCAAACAGAAAAAAACATAATGATCAAATTTGTCATTAATTAGCAGAAAGTGATGAAAAATTATTAAAAGGACGCTGAATTGCTTGCATTGTCCACATTTTTCTTTTAAGACTTTATGAAAAATGCTTGCACATTTAGCCTTTCTGTGAATCACTCAACAAATATTTAGTTTCTGAGAACTGCCTTACACCTGTGTTGCATGGAGTCAACAAACTTCTGGAAGCTGTGCAAGAGGTTGGTGAATGATTATTTGTTCAACCTACAAGATCAAATATGGCTGTGCACCTGTAGAGTGCGGTGAACACTGCCAGTACAAACTCCAATCACCTCACATGTTTTGTATCTCATTAAAGTAGAAGAACACAGGGTATTCTGATAATCTCCTTGTGAAACATTTGGGTTTGAACACATGAAACAGAGAAAAGTGTGTAGCTATCAGCTAGCATTGCCAGCAGAGATAGCTCCGAAATAAAATGGCAACTCTCGCCGACTTCCGACTTAAAACCAGGACGATCTCACCCTGGATCCGATTCAATTCCCAGCAACACCTGTGCAACAACTTAAAAACACATAAATATTTGCCAGGAAGAATTATATTGATGCCAATACCAATTATTACTTTTTAACAAAACAGTATATACCTTATTTTAAACACTGATCTAACTCCAAAATTTAACTTAGATATTCTAAAGACTTTTTCTGAATTATTCAGGAAATTTCAGAAAAAAAGCTGTTACATAGTTGATCAGAAGTTCTTATATTGAGGAACTGCTGCATAGAAACAATTTTATTTCCCTGTTAAAGTAAGATATAATGGTTTTGAAGGAATCACAAGGTTGTAATTAGCATGTTGTAAACTTTGTTAAAGTTGCTTGGAAGCTGTAGTTCAGAAGTTTTTAAATGGGGTTCAAAGAATTATTTTAATATTGCTCTTCCCTGTAAATACCTTCTTTTGCTTTTTGGACTTGGTGATTATGTCAAACACCTAATGTGAAATGGGCCAAGACCAAAATGGACGTGAAAAAAGCTGCTATAATGACTTCAATTTCTCTACTTTGCTGCTACAAAAAAGAAGTAAACTCCTATGAGCACGCTTTCTCCAATTCCCCATTTTTGCTTCACTCTGAATTAAACCTCATTATCCCTCAGTCTCAAAAAACTGTCCTCAAATTAAATCCCAAATCCCAGAAAGGGACATGAGTGCAACTCGCATAAGCTGAAATCTGCCAAATTTTGGGTTATGACACTAAAACCTCAGAGCCAGACTCATCCTTGCTTCTGGAACACATCCATTCTCACGCTTAACTCCTTCATGAATTGTTTTTCATTGCCTTCCACCTGCAGGGGAAAGGAAAGGCAGGAATAATGAGGTCTAATGGGAAAGGGCGAGTACAACTGGCTGTGCCATTTCCACCTCTTATCCTCCTCTGTCATGTGTGACTCATTTTCCAGAACTGCAGAGAGAGGTCATGATTTTATCTTCCTTTTAAAATGATGCTCTGAAAGAATCAAAATCAGCCAGTGATTGCAGAGTGATTACAATTGCAGTCTTTCTCTCTTTTCTAACAGTTTAAGAAATAAAAATGGCATGAGAATTTGCTATGCTATTTCACACAATGCACAGAAAAAAATGAGAGAACAACAATTTCCTCTTCCAGTGGCTTATTTCTATGTAGCCATTTTAGAAATGTGAACCTCAATATCTTGGATGAAATTGACTTTTTTTTTTTTTTTTTTTTTTTTTTTAAAAAAAAAAAAAAAAAAAAAAAAAATTTTTTTTTTTTTTTTTGGGGGGATAATATTTTTTTTTTTT